TGATCGTCGCCTTCGCCGCTTCTTATTTTTGGCGTCTCGTCTGCCCCTCCCTAGCCCAGGACTCGCCTGCCTGCGTGCGTGCTGCTCTCTGCCTCTGCGGCCCTGTGCGGTGCGGCCGCAATTATAAGCGGAGAACGTACCGTCTACGGCCGTGATCGACGCAACGGGTGTCTGCGGCGGCGAAATCGACGGCTCAGATCACGTCATTAATACGAGGGAAATAGCTTCAGCTAACACCAGCTATGGCCTACAGAACAGCTCCAGACCATCGGTCCTGTTCGGCTAAGAGGGAGCATCTTTACAAGACCTCTTAACCTAACTGCTAAAATGACATTTCACCTTGTGTTTCTGTCGAGACATTGTATGAAAGTCGAATTTATTCCACTCTCGTTTAGGACAAAGATGTATTTTATGTTTGGTTTCTTTAAATACTTGTTAGGTCTAATATTCTTAGATTAATCGAATATGTTTGATTATGTTTTCTTATTCACATTTTTTCTCTTTGTCAAATTTCCCGAAGCTAATGCTATTTTCAGGTAAATCATGGATACAATGCATGCTATACCATGTACTCATTTTCCATTAGCTTTTGTTTCGCAAGAAGATGTTGTAAGTTTCCAATGCATTCTTTAGTACTCTGTCTGTCTGCCGAGACGAATGATGTATTCATTGCAAATTCTAAAAATGGGTACTTGACATATGTGTGCTTTTTCTTTAAATCTAACAACAGCTTTCTTTTGAGCTTCGCTTCATTCATACACTTTGTATGTGTGTGTAGTGTTTTCTATGCTACCATATGAGCAGCTGGTGGTTTTGTGGTTGACTCATGCATGTGAACCGATGTTACTTAACATGCAAATGCCAAATGGTGTAGCTCCCTTGGGTCATTCATTTTGGTAAACTAAGTCATGCTAAACAATGCTTAAAGCAAAAGGCATATCTCAGCCTTAGGTGATGCACCAGCCTAGAAAATGCATGCAAATTGGTGTATTTTTTGTTCTCTCCGAAATGGTGTTTTTTTTTTTTGCGAATGTCCGAAATGGTGTATTTACTTGTAACGATTTCAATGATTTTGATTGGCCACATGTAGAATGCATGCATACAAATGTCTTAAACTTCCCTTTTCCAGTAAAAAAGTTAATGATTCAAGTTACATTACAAGAACGTTTTTCCTAAGTAGCAGTTTTATTCAGGTGCTGCAGTGATGAACAATGCACCCGAATTTCCTGATTATTTAAACGTACAACAAGGATGAATGGGTGTATAATGTTGAAATACAAGATATAGATATGGAAGCATAAAATTAGGTTATTTTGTCCATCATGTAGGTATATATCTATATCTTGACAAGATAGGTCATTTCCTATGACTAAGGTTGAGTGAACATTTTCGCATTATGACTAGCCACAAGTGGTATCTTGAAGTACATTGTTTCTCTTTTTTTGTTAGCCTTACAAAAATTGAAGCCTAACACCCCGGCCAACATGTGGCATTGAACATGCACATGTCATTACATTAAAGTGTGATTTTATGTCAAAAGTTTCAAATGTATACTTCAAACCCATGTATTATGCTATAAACTTAGTAGAGCAGCAGATAGTCGAGAAAACTAACAGTTCACATGTGTCTTTGCTTCAATACTTGGTTTAGATTTACAAACAGAGACGTTGTTTATACACTTGTGAATGGTAGTGGGGTAGGGCTGGAAGAGCTTCCTACATAGCATTTTCCTGCAGGAATTTGACGGCCGTCTCACACAGAACCAGAGTAAATTATGCCCTTTTATTCTACGCCTCTCCTTGATTTTTTTTGATTGCATGGATATTAGGCCTATGGGAGAAGTTGCGGAGAGTGCGACGTATAGGAGAAGCCGCCAAAATAACTTGGCCTACATCATGTTTGAATGGACTCGTTATTTTCTACACAATAAAACTCTGCGGTGTCATCCTGATGAATGGTCTAGAGCTGTACTCGTCATGTGGCATGTGGTCATCATGAAGCCAGAGTTGTCATGTAGTGCTATTTATTGAGCTATATTAATGATGTTTCATTTTGACGTTTGTCTCTTTTTTAAATAAAATGAGAGAGGACGATTGGCCTTTAATGTTGCATCCTATGAGGTGCTTTGGTATTTTTTTTCTTCTAAAGAGGATACATTTGACCATTACACATGAAATGAATGAAAATTTAACTAATTAGAACGGACAAAAAAACTTAAACTATACAGAGCTTGACCTTCTCATGTAAAGTTTTTGTCCAATGGCCAACGTTAGACCACTCATCATGTGAAAAAAAGTGTATCTGTTGTGGAACGCAGTATTTAAAAAAAAATTCATATGATCACGTAAGATCTATCTAGGAGATGCATAGCAACGAGAGGGGAGAGTGCGTCCCAAGGGGGATTCCTACTCCTACTAGGAGTAGATTTCCCCCCGTTCCTAGTCCTAATAGTAGGGGGAAGGAAGGGGAAGTGGAGAAGAAGGAAAGGGGGGCCAGCCCCCCTCCCAATTCGGATTGGGCTTGGGGGGCACGCCCCCACCTCTTGGCCGCCTCCTCTCTCTTCCACTAAATCCCATGTAGGCCCATTAAGCCCTCGGGGGGTTCCGGTAACCCCCCCAGTACTCCGGTATATGCCCGAACTCATCTGAAACCATTCCGGTGTCCAAACATAACCTTCCAATATATCAATCTTCATGTCTCGACCATTTCGAGACTCCTCGTCATGTCCGTGATCACATCTGGGATTCCGAACTACCTTCGGTATATCAAAACACATAAACTCATAATATCAATCTGTTGGGAACGTAGCAGAAATTCAAAATTTTCTACGCATCACCAAGATCAATCTATGGAGCAATCTAGCAACGAGGGGAAGGAGATTGCATCTACATACCTTTGTAGATCGCTAAGCGGAAGCGTTCAAGTGAACGGGGTTGATGGAGTCGTACTCGTCGTGATCCAAATCACCGATGATCCTAGTGCCGAATGGACGGCACCTCCATGTTCAACACACGTACAGCCCGGTGACGTCTCCTACGCCTTGATCCAGCAAGGGGAGAAGGAGAGGTTGGGGAAGACTCCATCCAGCAGCAGCATGACGGCGTGGTGGTGATGGAGGAGCGTGGTACTCCAGCAGGGCTTCGCCAAGCACCACAAGAGACGAGGAGGGAGAGAGGTAGGGCTGCGCCAAGGAGATGTCAAAACTCATATGTTGGCAGCCCCAAAGACCTCAACTATATATAGGGGAGAGGGAGGGGGCTGCGCCCCCTCTAGGGTTCCCACCCCAAGGGGTGCGGCAGCCCCAAAGCCCATCTGGGCGGCGGCCAAGGGGGGAGAGGGGAGACTTGCCCCCCAAGTAAGGTGGAGGCGCCCCCTCCCTAAACCCTAGGCGCCTTGGGCCCTTGTGGGGGGGCGCACCAGCCCATCTGGGGCTGGTCCCCTCCCACACTTGGCCCATGCTGCCCTCTGGGGCCGGTGGCCCCACTTCGTGGACCCCCGGAACCCTCCCGGTGGTCCCGGTACATTATCGATAGCAACCGAAACCTTTTCGGTGACCAAAACAGGACTTCCCATATATAAATCTTTACCTCCGGACCATTCCGGAACTCCTCGTGATGTCCGGGATCTCATCCGGGACTCCGAAAAACATTCGGTAACCACGTATATCTATTCCCTATAACCCTAGCTTCATCGAACCTTAAGTGTGTAGACCCTACGGGTTCGGGAAACATGCAGACATGACCGAGACACCTCTCCGGTCAATAACCAACAGCGGGATCTAGATACCCATGTTGGCTCTCACATGCTCCACGATGATCTCATCGGATGAACCACGATGTCAAGGACTTAATCAATCCCGTATACAATTCCCTTTGTCTAGCGGTACGATACTTGCCCGAGATTCGATCGTCGGTATCCCGATACCTTGTTCAATCTCGTTACCGGCAAGTCTCTTTACTCGTTCCGTAACACATCATCCCGTGATCAACTCCTTGATCACATTGTGCACATTATGATGATGTGCTACCGAGTGGGCCCAGAGATACCTCTCCATTTACACGGAGTGACAAATCCCAGTCTCGATTCGTGCCAACCCAACAGACACTTTCAGAGATACTTGTAGTGTACCTTTATAGCCACCCAGTTACCTTGTGACGTTTGGCACACCCAAAGCACTCCTACGGTATCCGGGAGTTGCACAATCTCATGGTCTAAGGAAATGATACTTGACATTAGAAAAGCCTTAGCATACGAACTACATGATCTTGTGCTAGGCTTAGGAT